CATCCTGATCATGAGTAGCTCCCTGCGTGCACACTTTATCTGCAATATACTCACTGAATAAAAGTGCTCCGTGCTACACACCTATTTCCTTTATAGCTGAACTATAGCTTAGCTGGTTCTGGGAGTCTAGCTAGATGTTGGAAATCTTGCCATCGAGATTTCTGAGTCAGTCAGGCTTTACTAAGGTGTTTAGCTGGTTCTGGGAGTCTAGCTAGATGTAGGAGGATCTCCCATTGAGATTTCTGAGTCAGTCAGGCTTTACTAGCGTAGCCAGAGATTTCTGAGTTAGTCAGGCTTTACTAGAGTAGCAATATTTCTGAGTCAGTCAGGCTTTACTAGCGTAGCAATCCGTGGAGCTATAGCTTAGCTGTTCTGGGAGTCTAGCTAGGTGTTGGAGAATCTGCCATAGAGATTTCGGTCAGGCTTTACTAGCGTAGCAATCCGCTACAATGCAATCCGGTCAGGCTTTACTAAGGTAGCAATCCGTTACAATTCTCAACCGGTCTGGCTTTACTAAGGTAGCAATCCGCTACAAGTCTTTAACCAAGGCTTTACGAAGGTAGCAATCCGCTACATGTTCGAGACCAGCATAGCAATCCGCTACATACTCCACGCCCAACTTCTATTGTCATAGCGTTTCAATATTGTCGCATCAATCTCATGAAATAACAGGAAAAAGGGACAGTCGGTGTAGAAACTTCATCCAAATTTCGAGCAGACAGCAGAAATTCTTATCATTGCCACGGCCGACTTTATACTAATTGAGTTGATTTGAAGTTACCTTTTAATTGCTTGCCACCATTAAGGGTCAAAAGGAAGAAAGACAATTATATTGAATTCGATAAGCGGAAGGTAATTGCGACGTCTTTATTCACTTTGAACTAAACTTTTCTGATGTCACAAATAGACAGCCTTCAATACTTATGAGTTTAAAGCCATCTGAGTTACACTAACTCAAAAAATCTCATTTCAACTTGTGCTTCTAAACGAGTTCCTACCACGAGAATTTCGTATAACCTCAAAATTAGATTATTACATTTCATCTTTATTGGAATATCAGGTTGAATAGGTATTTGCTTGGTTCATCTACATTTTCCTGACAATAAAATGGTGCCAACAAATCGAGACTATATGATTAAATAAAAAATATAAACTAGTTCACATGGCCTAATCGTAGTGGATTTAAACTTGCCCCCTGAGTCTGGGGTTCAATTAATGGAGCCTTGGTATTAGGGCATTGCAAAGTGAATTTCTTGCCTGAGAAGAATATGGTAGAACTAATGGCCTCGAATTCAAATCAATTAAGTCTTACACTGTCGTGCTCATATTAACCCCCCCCCCTCATGATTAGAATTTGCAAAAAAAATTTTTAGCCTATCATGGATGGCAAAATATAATTTGAATCCCGCTTTCTATGAAAACTCGCTTACTCTTATTTTTTATGCTAGCCAAGGTTTAGTGGTCCCATTGGTTAGAAATGTGATTATCGGAACCATATTTCATGATATAAATGATGCTTTCTTGAAACATTATTACAGGGTACTAATAGGATTATTAGCAGAATATACAAGTTCTCCGGTCGTAATTGCTTATTTTCTATAGTGTATGAAAGAAAAGGTAGGAAGAGATAAGATAGTGAATTCATAAACGATATTCTTTACAAAAGTTCATTTATGCATTTCAGTAAGCTCAATTAAAGGGCAGTAAAACAATAAAATATGTAAATTTATTGCTAATATAGTAGGGGCAACTTGTGGAGCACGCAATGTTGTCGTTGCTGAACAAAGTGATGTCAGTCCACTCAGACAGACAAAGTCGGGCAAGGAGAAAGTGCGGTTGTGAGTGCGGAAACACACAGCCAACCGCCAATCAATAGCCCTTGCATGGCTTATCGAAACCACCATATTGATATAATGACTAAGCTCTCTGTCCATGCACACACCCACTCATACACTTCCCGAATAAATGTGTCCCATGCGACATATGTCTGTTTCCTCTGTGGCTTTGCGAAAGCTTTGGTAGTTCTGATAATCCTTCTAAACGTCGGAGAATCTGCCATGGAGATTTCTGAGTATAATCAAAGCTTATTAGTTTAGCAATCCTTTGCAAACTATAATATATGTTCAGGCGTGCATTAAAAAAATGTATTCAATTCAACCGAGGGCACCTGTCTGATTTCAAAAATATTGAGCAAAATTTTAAAACTATTACAGGAAATATTTTTTTGATCAGAGCCCAAGAGGAAATGCACAAACGATCTGTGCTAAGCATATTGGATTTCGCAAAAGTCCAGATCACAATTTAAGTCAGAATATTGCATATTTATCCGACTATATATATATATATATATATATATGTATATATAAATGAAATTAAAAGCTAAAACTTAAAATTTTACCGTAAATGTGTCCTGCGTGGTGTTGATAATTTACAACACAGTAAATTTATCATAATTTTTATATTTCCCACGCTTAATGACCAGATTTATTGATTAAAAAAGATGTTCACTCTGTTTCTAATAAGATGGTCTGAAAAAACCATATAACGGTTCAAGCCTTTTGGGAAAAAATATGTTAATAGGCGACAAACACTGACATAAGCCATAATTTTATTAATTCTATTTTTATGGCTTTTCGTTCACCATTCTTGTAATAAAAATAACCATTAGGCTCTATTTGAACCAGAACCCTAGAGATCATGTCAACAAAACCTAGACGTCTCTGGAATAGCGAAGACAACTGTCAAAAAAGATCAAGCTTGAACAAATACCTTGTTAGAGACTACTTATTTATAGTCGTGGAATAAAGTATAACAAACAGTAAAACACAAAGCATGGAAAATGCTAATTAATACTTCTTAAAATTGCAAAATGTCAATAAATGGTTTAAACTAACCGAAAAGAGGAGCCTTTGGTGACAACCTTGGGTCTTCTCTGCCGTGATCGTTCCTGAAGCGAGCAACGGAAGAAGGCGTGGTGTTCAATACACTTCTTCCAAAAGCATTTGCAGTCATTTCGAGAGTCAAAGAGGAATTCGATCACATCCTGCAATTCGAGGTTCAAGTATTAAATATTATGCAAGGCACGTGAATTTAATATATTCATATATTTTATCGATGAATTGAATTGGAAAGGATCAATATAGAGTAGATAAGATATTTCCGCCATTTCAAAGAAGTTAATATGATCAGGAGTAGTGAGTCGCTTATATTCGAATTTTCAAAGTTAGCTTTATAATTTTAGCATATATTTTGAAATTTAAAAATTTCTTTAAAAAATATATACAATTGGGTTCATGTTTGCTATCTATATTACCAATCAAACTGAGGAAAAAATGGCTTTGCGATATTTTTATCATTATGGCGTCAATTTAATCATTACAACTGTTGGTTTTTGCTTTTCCTCATATTTTTAACCTAAATAATGATAATTCGATCCACTATTGTTGGAGGAAAAGGTATTGAAATGATCAATTTAGGATTTAGGACACAGCTAGAAGATACCAGTGGACAACTGTAGCCCAAACACATGCGGCAAATTGGGTCTTGAACTCCAAAGTTAAAATAGAAGAGGGTAGTGGAGAACTGAGAAGAAATCGAAAGCGTGATGGGTGCACGTGACTTTCGCATGAAATGAGTTGTTGCAAAATGGCTAGTCATGAAAGATAGGGGTTTGAGATGCATGAAGGCACAGAAACAGTATTTCCATATGGAAATCAATTTGAAAAAATTTGACTGGAATGGACAAAGTCACCATTCGTTTTGAAAATCTGATTTATGATATTTCACAATCTCATTACTCAGTATAAAAGTGATTAGTTTCAATTACACAGTCAGCCTGGCCCCAAAACCTAAAGCATGCTGATTTTATACTATTACATGGAAGTATCTCAACGAGTGCTTCCATTCTCTTCATTCACTGGTTGGTTTTGCAGTATCTCCATGGTATTTAGTGTCTCAATACAGTGTTCAATGCATACATCAAAGTCAGTCGGATTATTATCTGACAGTGGAGTTAGGAAGACAAACACTGGATTTGGTATAATCGTCCAAATTGCCTGATAACCACATTTGTCGCATATCTCTGAGGTGTGGCAGACTGTGCTATTTGTTCGGTCCAATCCCCATGGTGGTTGATAAAAGCCTCAGTTAGTTAATGACGACACCATTTTAAATCCCATGTCAAGGTTGTCCAACACTTCTTTCTCCATCAGGTTTTCGAGAAAACAGTTTGTTGAAGTGCAGTCAGGAGAGGTCGTCTGTTAGGTTACTTTCTTCTGGTTACAATAGTCACATAGTCACCATTGTCATTCTTCGACTCGTATCGAATTCTTCACACAGTATTGAGAGGTCATTGAGTGCCAACCATCATTTCCTCATTTTAGTGTTGTGCACGAACTACAGTGATGCGAGTTAGTCTCTTTCATGATTCAAGTTGGTTCAAGTCATCCATTTTCTCTGCCACATCACGAATGTGGAGGGAGAAAAGTTTAAACTTTTAAAGGCAGAATATATGCATATATATATCCTTCTTTATAGTCTGGTGGAAAGCTAGATAGATATAAATCTCAATTTTTTTCAATTAATTCTTGTAATAAACTTTATTCTCCTTCTAGATTTTTCCTATCAAATATACTATCAGCCACAAATTTAATTTCACCCAAATTGAGAATCACATTTCAATTATGTTTGCATTTTTGATATTCAAAGACTTAATAACTAAAATTCATGTAATCCCAACATAATAATCTAGTCAACTCTATTGCTTTGGAAACACTGTAGTTTTCAGTTATCTTTTTAAGACATTTCTATTAAAGTTGATCGCCAGAACAATCCATTTCATCAACATGCTCATGAATGCCTTAAAAAGTTGAGATTTTGAATCCGAATCCATCTTAACAAATTTGACAACCAAATTCCATTAGATTTCAAGGTAAATCCTGCTTCTTCAGGTGCTAGCTTTATTAACGGATTACGTGGAATCGTCATTCCACCTCACTGCCCTCCACTCGTTTCTCTTATTGAATGTCGTTGTTACTAATGACAATTTGTAAAAGTTTAGCTTTTTGGATTGGGAGCAGTATTAATCTCGCGTGGGTTCCCTAGAAAGTGTTTTGAGGCAATAATTCATCTAATTTTTCATAAACCTTAGTAATAAATGGAATTGAGACACCAAAGGCAGTTATATACAGTTAAGGGGAAATCAGCCTACGTAATCCATTGAATGCAGCTTGATCAGAAATCGCTTGCGACGAAAACTCAATTTGCGAATCTTGGCCCAGGAGAAAGTGTTGATTTTTGTCAAGTTCTGGAATACACTCAACCCGAGATGTGTCACAGAGAGGCTCATTGGTAATCCTTCCATATCCTGTGAACAATGAAAAAAATAACTTATTCCACCATCGGAAAAACAATGCTAAAAACATTTATGCGTAAAGCGTTATTAAATTATTCTCCCTAGAAATGTCATCTTTCACAAAAATCAAGTTTAAATACTTCAGATCTTACTTAGACAGTAGCTCTAGCAATTAACTGCTCAAGAATTAAAATCACGTCAAACTATGCCATAATTTTGAGAGCGAATAATTTGTCCATTGAAAATCGTTGGAATTCTGAACCTATTGACCTTTTCTTGCTCCTGTGAATAGCCATTTCAAAGAGCCAACCCTCCTTTTCAATTATTATGATTATCGAAATTATTATCCCCCTGGGGATAGTTCACCAAATATGGTTCATTAATAGAGCTATAATTTTTCTTTCAAATCAATATTACTTCAGCCAGGATTCCGCGACTTTCTACTGATCGCAGAAGTTGCATCATAACTGTGCCTCGGTTTATTGAAAATTTCAATAATTCAATGGATAATTTTACGATTTTAAAATTAGTGCAAATAGGAGGAATGAATCAAAAGGCGATCGTCCAGCAATTTGCATCATTTGATTTTTTAAGTTGCTTTGTGACAAATTCACGTAATTTGCGGTTCACTGCCCCGTGTTCTTAAAAGCAAATACCACAAGCCGTCTGGTGGATTATTGACAAAATTCTTGTCCCAAATTTTAATTGCATTTTGGCCGATTGTATATTGATAATCGGTAGTACCACAACTGTTCATTTATTCTTATTTTAAGACTGAAAATATATTCTGTTTTACATAACTCTATTAAGGTGGGGATTATAATGATGGGTTTGCTCAATGTTAACTCCAGTAATGACGTTATACTTTATACATCCTTAAGTTATTTGAACAAAATAATGCCAATCATTCAAGATTTTAGACAAAATAACTGAAATTGTGCATTTTACAAACAAAATAAGCATCACCTTCACGTGGTGAGCCCGGACAACGTATACTCATACAGCAAAAAGTCTATAAACTGACACCTGACTCAAAACTACCATTACTCGACTGTATGTCATATTCGATCACTTATACAGTACTCACCTCACCTTACCTTTTTCCCTAATTTTGTGTCTGTCTCTCTTACATCTATCTAATCACTCTTCCAGTTCCACCCCCTTCCCCACCTCGACATTTTGTGACTTTGATGTTCCTCACCTCTGTGAAGCCCAAAGTCAACTAAATGGCTAATGATAAATGTCATGATGCCTGTCATTTGATACAAATAAATAATTAGAATGAAAAGTAAGTTCATTAAGTATAATATAAATTAGGATCCAATTACTAGTCGCCGTCACGGTAGTTCAGAGGAAGCCAAACAATCAAGTGACTATCAAGTGATCAAGTGGCTAAAAGGCGAAATTCGTAAAAAATGGTCAAATAAGCCTTATTTCTTGGGCGCCAGATTGCTCAATTTCTGTTTTTCAATGCTTGCGCAAGGAGATAATCTCCCTCCCCCCCCCCTCGACCCCCTCCACAATTGCTATATTACTCGTTAAGCAGTAAGCTAACCAGTCCCCAATGTCCTCTTAGCCTTAAAACACGAAATGACAAATCGAAGAGTGGTCTAGGCCACGTGCTTCCTCTTTTCTGCTCATTGGTTAGCTTAGGGCATAGAAGTGACTACTGTGTTGTTCAGGCTGTCAGAGTCTGGTCTCAACATAATCCCACTTTGAGACTCAACTACTTGAGCATGATTTACTACTTCCTCGTTGTCAAATATTTTTATTTTGTCAACCCAAACATATGTAACTGAAATAATATGTAGAGATGTGATACATCTGTGGCCTTCTTTGTCTTTACATAGTTCAAAGTGTTGAACATGATGCAGGAATTTCAATTTACACAACAATAGGCAAACATACAAATAGGCAGTAATGTATATTGTAAGACGAACAGTTTTTTTCCATCTCATTTTTAAGAAAGTGATTTTGGGGCGAAGTTTTAGGAGGTCTCCACTTTGTATCTACAGAAAATTTAAGTTTGGACACATTTTACCTACATAATTACTTCATGATTAAAATACTATCTTGAACTTCACTTTGGAAAGAAAATTAATCTTATTTAAAAAATTTGATCAGACGGTATTTTCTATAGATTGAGAATAGTAAATACATTTCAACTTCAACATAATACTTCTATTTGATATTTTTTAACCTCTATTTTGAACAGATCATTTATTTTTTAATTATCACAAATCTTTTTTGGATAGGGAGCTTAAAGATAGATCATATTAGCGGCTTAAAGATTGATAAAAAAATTAACTTATAAAACAGGTAAAAGAGACCTTTAAAATTTAGATGATGCCTTAGTTCAGGCTGTCACTGTAATAAAATTAGGTGCACATCAAGGTTACGCTAGCAGTTGCTTCGCCCATAAGGTACCAAGGAGGTGACATATTTCTCACGTCAATATTACACTCCGCCTAATTAAGGAAATATAATTCTCTAATACACGGGCAGATCAGTATACAATGATTGGTTACCTCAGTGTTCGATAACAATGGTGATACATTCCCCAGTGTTGGTCTTTCATGCAACAAAAATGCAAATTATGAACTTCTATCAAGTGTATCTGAAGTAATCGATTTATTTACTTATTTTTCCACAAAATAGTCCTTTTTATTTAAAAACCCGATAATCAAATTAAATCACGCATAGGAACAATCAGAATTATGAATACCTTTAACGTTCTGAATAAAAAGCATTTCCCATGAACTGATGGATAAATGATACAATTTTTTCTTCACCTTATTTTCACTGCCAAGTCCAATAATTTCGGAAAATTAGTTTGTGCTAAGAGCTGAAAGCAAAATTCTCTCATTAAATATTCAAAGGGCTTTCCGTGAAAATGCGCAGTTGAAATCATTGTCTGATAGGAGTTGTCAACAGTTTTGACACGATTAACTGGTAAAAAATTGAAACAATAGCTTCCTAATTTTAAATCTTCTACTCAAAAGTCTGTTCGCAGTCCAATATGAGTCATTTCAATTTATTAACTGGTGGACTGCGTGCCACCAATAGGATCTTCGTTTTGTTCCCTTAATGGAGCCATTGTTTTAGCAGTGCTTATTAAAAAATAGGGCAGTATTTTGCTTTCCTAGAACAATAAATCTCGCCGTTTTAAAAATTAATTTATAACATCCGATTTACCATCATTCTCTAAATATAAAGCCTTTACTTGATAATCAGTCATTAATTAAAATGTATTGTCTAGCATCATCGATAAAATTAAGAGGTAGTGGACAATTTTTTGAAGTAGCCTATGCACAAAGATTGTACACACAAATTTAGTTCAAACCTAATTCTATCAAGCATCCCAATCATGAAAGTTTTAAAGGCACATTAAGTCGAGAGTTAAAACGCAATGACCCGTTTTTTGGGACAAAATGCGCTAATAAATTGGGAGGGATAAAAGCATACAAAGTGAAAATGGAGTAAAATTGTAGTTACAAATTTTTTTCATCATCATTTACGCAACGAAATTAAAACGATTTGAAGTTGCGGGTTTTTATGCTCGTTTGTCTGTGAAAAAAAATGAGTAAATTCGATAGGTGGTAGGAATTTGCGTCCCTGGAATGTCACATTTGGCAGGAAACAGCCTTTAGCACTATTGGCATACTCGGCAAAGCCCGAAATTCGCATCACTCATGTGCTATATGGTCGGCCATTGGATCTCTGAAGCCGCATCTGGATTATGCGAAACCCCAACGGAAGCATTTATTAGCTAAGCTGGTTTATTTTCTTAAAGGAAATCGCTTTCATAAAAATCTTTCTAAGTAAGCTTATATGGCTGAATATCTCTTCAATCCCCGTTTATTAAGTAAAGCACTTTTAACTGAACAAACAAACCTAACTATTGGTGCAAGCATTTTGGTGGTAGTACAAATTTCATCGGTCATAGGGTTAGTAAAAGCATGAACAAGTCCAAACGGTCTCTTAACTACGATTACCACCGCCTAGCATTTGACAGCCCTGATAATAAAATTTGTCTTGACATGCACTGAGTGAAGAGAGGTAGGTTACTGTCGGGCTGAATAACCCTTCACAATCCCATTGAAATTAACATTCCTCTATTGTTTACTAATATATATTTTGATGCTTGATTTTGGACGACAAGTTCATTATGCAGAAAATTGTAGCGCTTAAATAAATTGCGTTTAATAAACTATTTAAAATATTTTTAATAGTACTATCAGAAAAAGTAAATGCATTATGCAAATTCGATTATAGATATTGATACTTTATTTGCATTTTAGTTGTAGGAAACTTGAAAAAATATTAACTAACTCGTGTTTGCATTATAGGGATATGTTAATTAATTGTTATTGGATCTCAGGGGCATCATAAATTGAGAAAACTTGCAATGGTCAAAGGTTTGTTCTTAAATTTGATTTTGCTTCTAGCTTTTAGTTAAAACGGTTCGACTTGGTTTTCATTCCTGTATGACATTATGGAACTCTTTATTATCACAGAGCAGCCATACTTTCAGAAAGATTTTAGTAAACTAAAGCAGCCGGCAGCAAATTTTTACAAGATTTGTTTCAAAACCAACATCTCGATTGCAAGCCATTTAAGTCAGACAAGAATCATCCACAAGCAAACAGAGTTCGTGTGTGCTTGAGGCCTGAGAAATGATTTTGTTCTAATTAAAACGTTTTTTGTTAGAAGATTGGGGAATAAACTAAGGGGGATCAAAATTACAAAAAAATAATCAAACATGATAAAATAAACACTCTCAGGAACTCCAACTTTGAGGCGAATAGTGAAATTAAGAGGAAAATGCAAGGATTGGGAATATTGAAGTAGTGACATACTCTGGCTGGATGAAGTCGAACTCCATAGAATTCCACTTTACGGGCTGTATCTAGAAGAGCGAAGTCCGCATCCGTCGGTGACATTCCACTGAAAATAAAGATGAAAAGTAATTCGCATTTCTTAATGCAGCGAGATTGAGAATTGAAAATGCAACATAAATGTGCTCAGGGGCACTATTCTTCTCCTCCTCGTAATGACGATCAAATTCAATAGAAATATCTCAAAAGGATAACTGAAAACTACAGTGTTTCCAAGGCAATAGAGTTGACTAGATTATTATGTTAGGATTATAGGGCTAATGATAAATATCACAAAGCCTACCATTTGAAATAAATAAATAAATGTTGGGATTACATGAATTTTAGTTATTAAATCTTTGAATATCAAAATATAAAAATGAACAGATAATACAAGAATTGTGTTTCAGTTTTTGCTTTCGTATGCAAACATAATTGAAATGCGATTCTCAATTTGGGTGAAATTAAATTTGTGGCTGATAGTATATTTGATAGGTAAAGTCTAGAAGGAGAATAAAGTTTATTACTAGAATCGATTGAAAAAATGTAGATTTATATCTATCTAGCTTGCCACCAGACTATGAAGAAGGATATATGCATATATTCTGCCTTTAAAAGTTTAAACTTTTCTCCCTCCACATTCGTGATGTGGCAGAGAAAATGGATGACTTGAACTAACTTGAATTATGAAAGAGACTAACTCGCATCACTGTAGTTCGTGCACAACACTAAAATGAGGATATTATGGTTGGCACTCAACGACCGTTCAATACTGTGTGGAGAATTCGATACGAGTCGAAGAATGAAAATGGTGACTACGTGACTATTGTAACCAGAAGAAAGTAACCTAACAGACGACCTCTCCTGACTGCACTTCAACAAACTGTTTTCTCGAAAACCTGATGGAGAAAGAAGTGTTGGATAACCTTGACATGGGACTTCAAATGTTGTCGTCATAACTAACTGAGGCTTTTATCAACCACCATGGGGATTGGACCGAACAAATAGCACAGTCTACCACACCTCAGAGATATGCGACAAATGTGGTTATCAGGCAATTTGGACGATTATACCAAATCCAGTGTTTGTCTTCCTAACTCCACTGTCAGATAATAATCCGACTGACTTCGATGTATGCATTGGACACTGTATTGAGACACTAAATACCATGGAGATACTGCGAAAAACAACCAGTGAATGAAGAGAATGGAAGCACTCATTGAGATACTTCCATGGGATAGTATACAATCAGCTTGCTCCAGGGTGTTGGGACCACATTGAGAATGCCAAGGATATTAATGGCATTTACTGTGAGCAAACATCCTTAACAACAGTACAAATTTCTTGAAGCTACCAACTACCTTCCCCTTTTTTTCTTAGGAGGCTCTTAAATTTATATCAAAGTTTCAACTAGTGCAAAGCGCGCCAGTCGTTGCTTTGAGTGATAGTACAAGAACAAAAATACTAGCACATTATCATTACCATTATTAAACCGTAGTGGAAAATGTGGCATAAATTCCAGATAATCACAATTTGTACTTACTCTCGCCACCTTTTTTTGTCAATTATAATGACATTATGCGCACACTCAATATTATAACTCAATAATTCGGCAGCGAAATAAACTTAATTAAGTCCATTCGAATGTGTCAACAGGATTGATTGAATTCTCATATCATTTATTTCCATTGTTCATCTGTCAGAATCTTTCTATCAATATTTGGCCTGATTAGGTTGCTAAGGTCTCTTTGTTATTAAAGTTAAGCTAGATACTGCAATATTCATAGTAAAACAAAATTAGGTTGAAGTAGGAAGAGCCAATAAGGACATTCATTTGTTTAGGTATTCACAACTTCTCAATTTCCCATTTTTAAATCATCCGACAACAAAATGCCAATGCAATTTCCTTTCCTTTCAGCTGTTTTTCAACTTATCATAAACAACGTTGAGTAAAATTAGTGCCATGGAGTCTTTTAAAAGGTGTCTAAATGAATCTTGAATGTGCGAAAACTGTGAATTGGAGCTTTATCAAAGTAAAACAATAATTCGGCACACTGTGATATAAATGATACTGCAATTGCCTGATGAGAGGGAAAGAAAAAGAAATTTGAAAGCCAATTGGGAGGAGAGGGAGTGCCGGTAGTCAGGCAGCACATTGCATCACATCTTGGGGATTTGCTGCGTGCAGGAGGCAGTAATGCCTGTTTGCAACAGCAAGTCCCTTCTGTAGTCACTATTGTTATTTTGCTGTTTATACGATAATCCGATTTCGCCTCTCGGCCAATGAGATTTATCCCACGCTCAACAGTCACGTGATTGCGTAGAAGAAAGCTCCATTTTGCCCACCGTCACGCAGCATTTACTTTAAGGATCTTCCCATTGCTTTCACCTCTCGACATTCCTTTTCCCTCTGTTTTATTTAAGTTCTTGATCAAATTCGAATCATCTGCTATTTGAAAAAGGAAAATCGTAACTAATTCAAGAAGTTGAGAGTCCACTAATGATACGCTTACCAAGTGGTAGTATGGCAAGGAGAAATCAAATTGATAATTAATTACATATGACAGCTAAATAGGTTGTCACATCACTATATCTATTCAGACCTCAGGAAGGAAGAAAGGTACCAATGTCTCAAGCAGGTAAACTTTTAAAATTGAAATGGACGCAGAGAAAATGAAAAATTTTCTAGTTATTTAATAATTATTTCATTGCCGGGCTCATGCATTTCGAGAAAGTGTTTGAGATAAAATAATTGATAGCTCAGTGAATCTTGCATGATGAGCCGTGTCAGTTTTATTCTCGAAGGAACAGAAAATATCTACTTCGGCTTAATTCAAAGTGGCATAGAGGTATGGCGTAGTGATGCGCGAATACGGCTGTAAAGTCGCTAACGTCAGTTTAGATTTACTTCATAAAAAATTATGAAAGTACAATTAATAGATAAATCGTTTTTTCTACCTCTAAAAACTGAAAGAAAATTGATTAGTTAATTTGATTAATATAATTATCGGTTTCATGTTATGTACTCAACAATTATGACTTCAACAAACGTTATCATAATATTAGCCAATACACAATAAATCATCACTGCAAGGGTCTAAAAAGTGGAATCGTTGAGAAAGGATACGAATGTAGCCGAAATTTTACTTCTGTTGAATTCTGTTGCCCGATTTGTTAACTAATAAGCATATTTGCTCGCCCTCAAGGCTCATATTGTTAAATTTGAGCTTTGTGGGTTATACTCCCAATTTTCGGACATTTACTCACGATTTGGTATTATTTATTGCTTGGTCATGTCATTTTGATGCATTCCTATCTGAGGAAGAAGAAATGCTTTTCGCATTTCTCACTTCACTCGAGTTAATTGCGGCTAATTAGAACGAATTCGAAGCTTTAAATTAAGTCTTAGAAAAAATCTATATTTGGCAAAAATCTCTTGGAACAGAATTTCTCTTCTGAAACTACTTCTCATTACGCAAAGTTTGGAAAAGAAATGTGAAATTGTACGCATGGGCAGAACTAATGTACTTTTGAATGGGAAATCGGACATTAGGTTTAAAAACTGGGCCAAGCCAAACATGAGAACGGTATATTATACGTGAGGAGTGTGCGACAGACTTACCTCCACGTGGTGCACCCTGGGCAACGTATATTCATACGGCAAAAAAGTCTATTAACTGGCAGTTGACTTCTCACTTCAAACTATCATCACCCCACTGTATGTCATAGTCGACCACTTCCATAGTACTCACCTCACCTTTTTTTCTAACTTTGTGTCTGTCTCTCTTACATCTTTGAAACACTCTTCTATCCCT